TCTATGTATACGGGTGTGTGTGTGTGTGTGTGTGTGTGTGTGTGTGTGTGTGGGTGTGTGCGTGTGTGTGTGTGTGTGTGTGTGTGGGGGGGGGGGGGGGGGGGGGGTCAACCATTCGCTGTGCAGAGATGCGTCCCTTAGGCGTGCCAGATTTTTTATGATCGTGGGCCCGAATGCCAGTTGCCCTTGTTATGTTTCACGTTTGCTAGGACCTACTCCCGTACTCACTGGTTCCACCAAAGTGGTAAGCGTCTAAGACTTCTTTGTGTAAACCTATTATTCCTACACTACGTGTGTCCCATGTCAGAAGTGCTTTTCGTATGCTCCTCTAGTCTGTAGGGGTCTTTTTGTCGATGAATATGCTTTTCTGGACCAGAACAGAGAATACACCTTCCCTACAAAATAACTCGCGGCAACTATTATGCCTGCATTTAAGCTCGCCGTGAAGATGGTTTTGACTTGCTAAGCTTGGTGACATGAACATTGAAAACAGGAAGCTTAGTCTTAAATGGGGCTATCTCAGCTTTGTCATAATTATATCTTCCTTGTGTCCCTACTTTAGAAATCCATTAGCCCATAAGCCTGCACTTACTGGTGGTTGATAAGTGCACGCCGGTTGAAACAGTGCCAGACATGTCTCGTGTCCAGTAGTGTCTTTCTGCTGACACCAAGTACTCAAAGAACAAGTTATGGTGCATCATATTTTGTCTGTTGGACAAAAACTGATTTTGAAAGCAAATTCAAGACGCATTAATGTGACTAAATATGATACGGGACATTTTAGTCCATTTGGCCCGTATGATCACACAAACCTATGTTACAGAGCGGCGCTCGTCTGGCTCAGAAACTTTCTAAATTTGTGATATGTTCTCTAGAACTGAAACTTTTAAAGTTAAACAAAAGTATGAAATATCAAAAGTGTTTAGAGATGTATGTCAGAAGACCGAAACGAATGATAATGATCAGTTTTTATTTGCCCATATGTCATGCAGCTTCGCCGTTGTAGAGTTTAAAAGAGCAGTTGGATTATTTTCCACGATGACACAAGTGGCTTCACGGTATTTGTTGTCGGTGTAGACAATATGGCTGAACAGTTTTGTTTAGAGACCGAGCTACATCATACATGCATCTGTTGAATGTTACTTATGTCATTAGGTTTGTCCATAACATGTTTTTAAATAGGGACACCAGACATCAATTTTACATACACTTAAATTGTGACACTGTGACACATAACACGTATTTAGTATCTGCTTTCAACGTCGGCTTTTACAGTAGACATTGTTGTGTGTGGGACATTAACCGTTCAATAATGGTGCAATGTACCAACTGTTAATTGCAAGCGAAAAATGTACAAATGTACAAATGACTGAGAACAAATCATTTGTTGCGCTCATATATTTTTGGAGACCAGTGAAGACCCGGGTGAATAGGCCTCAGCAAACCATGCTTGCCGTAAAAGGCGACTATGCTTGTCGTAAAAGGCGACTGACGGGATAGGGTGGTCAGGCTTGCTGACTTGGTTGATGCATGTCATCGTATCCCAAAAGCGTGGATCGATGCTCATGATGTCAGTCACTGATTATTTACAGCCCGCCGTCATATAGCTGGAAGTGCGGCGTTAAACAAAACATAAATAAAATAGATAAATAAATATATGTTTGGACAGGATGACATACCTGCTTGTATTATTATACTTAAGCGTTCACTAAGTGAAGGTAGCGCCACTCACTGTAACTACAGTAGCAACTACTTTTTCTATAACGCCATGAAGTGTGAAGGTGTTGCGAAACTTTAGTTTTAAGACGTATAATTATGAAATGAACGTGGCTGCACCGTAATCTGAATAACACGATTGGTTGGTTGGTTGGTTGGTTGGTTGTTGAACGCCGCACTCAGCAATATTCCAGCTATATGACGGCGGTCTGTAAATAAATCGAGTCTGGACCAGATAATCCAGTGATTAATATCACGCAATTGGGATCGATGACATGCATCAACCAAGGCAGCGAGCCTGACCACCCGATCCCGTTAGTCGCCTTTTACGACAAGCATAGTCACCTTTTACAGCAAGCATGGGTTGCTGAAGACCTATTCTACCCCGGAATCTTCACGGGAATAACACGATCTGTGGCTAGTATTTCAACAAAATGTAGCACATACGCGAACTGCTGCTGTGAATAATGTTTATTTATGATCGTCTCCGATTAATGGTCAGCTGCATGTACTAAGTACCCAACGCTCGAGTACAATTAATGATGGGACGTCAGTGAATACACTGTGATATTCCATTCATTAACTATGGACATTGACGTGGCATATGTGTGTTGACAGCATGCGTGTCTCATCACGTTTCCTTGGGGACATCTGTTTATGACACTGAAGTCAGCACAAACATATAGATTACCGGGTTGACCTCTCTCTCGCTACGTCCGCTCCCTCATCACATCCCGGGAAGGATGGGCAAATTCTGTCCAGCTGTATCTCGACACACCAGCAATAAACATATCCCATATATTTAGTGTGCATGGAACAAGAACACATGTCCAGTGTCACAGGTTTTTTATTACCTTCAGTTTTTAGAAAAAAAATAACCTTATTTTTATGTGAACAATCCAAAATTCTCTTGCACTGATTATTTACAAGTGGATGTTTGTTTGTTTGTTTGTTTGTGTTGTTTAACGCCGCACTCAGCAATATTCCAGCTATATGACGGCGGTCTGTAAATAATCGAATCTGGACCAGACAATCCAGTGATTGACATCATGAAAATCGATCCACGCAATGGGGATACGATGAAATGCATCAACCAAGTCAGCGAGCCTGACCACCCGATCCCGTAAGTCGCCTCTTACGACAAGCATGGGTTGCTGAAGACCTATTCTACCCCGGATCTTCACGGGTCACACGTGGATGTACATTGCAGACGTTTGATCTGGTTTCATACTATCACTATCTCTTACCGTCCAAATATCGACCAGAACCAAACAATACACGCGAACAATTGTGATGAGGCTTTCGCATATCAATGCAGTCATTGTTGACAACAGGTGTTTGCTTATCACTGAGATCTGTTGCGAAACCAGATGTGTGCATATCACTTCGGTCAGTGATGTATATATTAAGGTGTTCAGAGATGCTACTTATGATCGTACACCGATTTCTTTTTTGTTCACCTTTTTTAACAAAAACAAAGTCAGCTTCAGTTCATCATGTCAATTACTATGGGTTCGGGGGGCACGGGTGGCCCAGTCGTCTAAGGAGCCGCGATTCGCTGTGCAGAGTTGTGTCCCTTGGGCACGCCAGAAACCTGTGATAGTGGGTTCGAATCCCGGTTCGCCCTGATTATGTCTCTAGGTTTGTCAGCATCATACCCGTGCTCGTGGGTTTCACCAAAGTGGTAAACGTCTGAGACTTGCATCACTTCGGGCTTTCCTCCCACATTTAGCTGACACGCGGGGATATAACTAGAATACTGTTAAAAGCGGCGTTAAACCCAAATTCCTCACTCACTACTCTGAGTTCGCTTTCATAATCTGTTCGTGAAATACAGAGCAGTAGCTCAAAATACTTTTCACCCAATTAACACCTCATTAACAACATCAAATGAATAGGTTTAGCTTCACCTTTGGAACCACCATTACTAATCAATACGCCCAAACTATTGACCCTTAGCCGTGCAATATCGGCAAATTCCAGGTGGCAGAAGCATTTTCATTACTACCTTGATCACTTCCCAGTGTTGATTGCAGGTGAGGATATTGTGTTACTTTAATTGTTCCCGAAGACAGGTTGTCGCGTCCTCATCAATCGAATATCAACTCGCCATCATTTGACACTGCACGCAGCCTCCGTTGTCGCAATGTGTTAGTGAGTCATTGGGATTTAAAACACAACAGTGTTTGTTGTGCGAAGTTCCTATTTCTGTATTCTGTGTTCAGTCATGGTTATTTATTTGGTTCTGCACATGTGTTGGTCTGATAAGAAACTGCTGTTGTAGTTGGCATCCATGGAAAACACATGCAATGAGACCCGTGAAGATTCGGGGTAGAATAGGTCTTCAGCAACCCATGCTTGCCGTAAAAGGTGACTCTGCTTGTCGTAAAAGGCGACCAACGGGGTCGGGTGGTCAGGCTCGCTGACTTGGTTGATGCAGGTCATCGATCCCAATTGCGTGGATCGATGCTCATGCTATCAATCTCTGAATTGTCTGGTCCAGACTCGATTATTTACAGACCGCCGTCATATAGCTGGAATATTGCTGAGTGCGGCGTAAAACAACAAACCAACCAACCAACCAACCGTTTTTAAAAGAATGTATTTAATGATTTCCCACTTGCAATACTACCATTCAGTCATGTAAAGTATATAAACTTCACATCCGTCTCTGGTTGTGGTCTCGTGCAACAAAATGTGTGCGTCGATTCCCAAAGGTGAAACAGTTCATACAGACTTGAACTGAAGACATCCACAGCTTGAAACAGATCCCTTAGAACTAATATATAAGATATTATATACTGTTGTATACATCATAGGGCTTGGTTACCGCGTTAAATGAATTTGGAACCGACAGAAACTGTATTATTCCCTTGCGTGATAACGGTACTTTAGTTGGAATCAATTTCGAAACCCATTTAACTGAAACTTCATAAACTGTAATTGTATATGCATAAGCACAATGTGTGTTCGACTGTTTTTCTTTTGAAACGAGACCCTTAATTTACGTGTATGTAAAAGAAGGATACGAGTAAAAATCAGTTTCCTTTAAGAACATTTTGCTGGCGTGATGTGAAGACAAGACACGGTGATGCTATCACAAAAGTCTCTCCTTGTGGAAATTAGTCTTATACAATTATGACCGTAGGAGGATAAATCGATCATTTCCAGTTAATTACATCCTGCACTTGTTAAAAGAATGACACATGACCGCTCTCTCATTGGATCATGCACCAACAACAGCAGCGTTGATCAATGAAACAGCCTGGTCACAAGTGCTAACGCCACACTGTTCGCTACTGAAGCCCTCGCTAGCTAGAGGCAGAACTATATCCAACGCGGAGATGGAGGGGGCAGTACTGCATTGCTGGTGGCGAGAGGAGAAGTCGTGGACGTAGTTTCTGCGGAGGATGAGGACATACTCAGCGTTTTCAATTGATATGCAGTGTAGTGGCATGCATGGACACCAGATAGGGAAGTGTATTCACCTGGAAATGGGTAACATTTGAGAATCCCGCATGAAGACTGAGTTACAATCTTTCTGTCATATAATATAAAAGATTATTAAATCTGAACCTACGCCAATTGGGACCCCACCATGCTGGTATTAAGGACTGATAGTGAAAGAAGTACAGTCCGCAGGTCAGATGGGTGTTGTGGACATTAGTAAAGTGATTATGATGTTCCTTTGACGTTTACTGTAAAGAGGATATATTGTACATATCAACAAGGATCTACACCAGACAAGTGGTGACAAAGAAGGATAATTAATCGATGACATCTGCTTTGTTGTAGTGAATGATTGCCGGGAGGATTATAGCTCGGAGATTATTCCAGTTCATGTAGATTGTTTGATTTCCTATGGGAGTACATCAACAGGCAATCAGTGAACCCTCCTCGGAAATGACCTGCATATGTCTACACTCACAAAAACGGCATAAGACATGTTCTGAAGTACCATGACTTATTACGATAATTTGAAAGTATTCGGAATTTAGGTATAAATTTATAAAAGTATATTTTCTTCTTATCATATATGATGTGTGACAGTGAAACATCACTCGGCAATGGCGTTCTTGACAAGCATATTCTTCTGTTAAACTTGCCAGAAGGTATGCAGCCCAAGTGAAGTCATTATCTTGTACCCCGACTAACTTGTAGCCTTTCATGCCCTTCCTCAACCTCTGCATTCACTACTGATTAAAGATCCTCACACATCGACCTAATTTGAGGACTGCATTGTAGTATGGTACGAGATGGGAAACTGTAACGCCAATGGCTATAGAACGGGGATCGGGTTACGGCTATACAAATAGGCAACACAGGGACTTGCTTGGAGGAATGTGATTTGATGGTGCTGGAGTGACACGCTGAATCAGTACACCAAATGGATTTAAAGTGAAAATAAGTCATTATGTTGGAGGACACATTTTCAAATGTAACCTTTCCAGGTGGAGCCGAGAATTTGGAAAAACGCCAGTTCCACTGGATTTTTGTGGTTGTAGAAGTGGCATTTGACATAGTGATAATCGCTGGTGATGTTTGTTTACTGTTTCTGTACTTCACTAGGAAGCTGTTGGGACAATCAACGAACATATTGGTATTTTCGGTAGCTGTTGGTGACCTTATTACAGCTATTGTAACAATACCGTTGGATATTGTACAAAAATTTGTCAACGACCTTTCGCCATATCTGTGTAAAAGTTACTTCTATTTTTCGAACGTAGCACGAACAGCAATCAGCTACAGCATTCTAATGCTAGCTATGGAGAGAATCATGGCCGCTTTAAACCACAAAGTGCGTTTACTGTCTGCAGGAAGATGCCTCTTTTTCACAAGTCTGAGCTGGTTCTTCGCAGCGTCCTACAATATCTGGTCTGTGGTACTGTACTCAACTGAGTACTACACCTTCGACACTCACCTACCTACACGAGTTGCCTTGTGCTTTGTCTCGGAGTCCTTCATGTATCTCTACCAGATATTTATTGTCCTGGATTTCCTTATCATTTTCTTATTTCCATCAATCGGAACTTTCGGTCTGTTTGTGATTTTTGTAACTCGGAATCGGAATGCTTATCAGCCAGGTAGGCCTTACAAACCTTCCATGTCGGTAATAGTGTTTACATTCGCTCTTTTTGTATGTTTTGTAGCCTGTCACCTACCGCTGGAGATCATTTCCTTTTTAATCGATCACAGAGCTGCGTCGTTTTTAACAAATGACGCCAGTGCGTATAAAGTGCTTCAAATGTTCTCCTTTACCAGAGGATTCTGGGACCTCTTTATTTTCGGTGCCTTTCGGCATTACGTGTGTAGAAAAGAAAAGGCTTTGGCCCAAATGCGGGATCATAGAACCAAGCAGCAGTGTTTGTCATTGGATATTCCCCAACAAGCTTTTTCTACAAGCTTACTGGACAGTGATCAGGAGGTGTCTGCTAAGAACTCCCACTCCAGTGGTGACTCACGGCTGTAACTGTAGCAAGGCTGACTTTAATCTCTGTACGTGTAGCGGTGGCAGTCACAAGATCACAAGTGCTCTTCAAGCTGCATGCTCCATCATCTGCCACTGACAGGAAGACTTACCCTACACATGCTTAAATGTCAGGTTGATGTGTATCAAGGAAAACGGATAATAACAGGAAATGTTTTTTTCTTCCGAACACAATTGCTTTCTCTTATTTCATAAAGTAGGACACATTGTCGTGTTAATTAGGATGTCGCTACTATCGAATGTACATATAAATGACTATACATGCGTGTGTTACGTTTCAAAATATAGTATTTAACAATGATCCCATAATGCAGACCCATGCAGTTGTAAACCTTGAATTCCAAGGGCGATATAGGTATTTCATGAGCATAAATGATAACGATGCTTGCCTGTGTTCAGGATCAGATTTTGATTCCATATTCAATTATTGTAAACTTTCTATTTCTAAGGTGCATATTTTGTTATTTCTTATTACTGAACATTTTATGACAGGGGTTTCTAATACAAACTATGTATGTAGAATATCAGGGAGTACATACATATACTCATTTCATCTCAACTCGCTCAGTATTGTGTAATACCTAAAGAAGATGTATGAACCCTGTGATATGTAAAATGTAGCTTATCTCCCCATGACAATGACTTATTATTAATGACTTATTGGCATATTTTAGTGCATTATGTAACACCGCACAGTATAATATGAGTATAACATAACATATCAGAACTGGGGCCACACAGTTAAACAATTATCATTTTCTCATGGTAAGGTAGGGTGGCCTAGTTGGTAAAGCGTTCGCTTGTCACGAACCCCGGATTCGATTCCCCACATGTGTTAAGCCGTGGTATGACTGGATTATTACTAAAAGCGGCGTAAACCTCAACTCACGCACTCATAGTGAGGTACTTACATGTATATGCAATACATTAATATCCATAAGAAGTAAATATTTTCCGAAGCTGTACACCAAATTAAAGTATACATCTGTTACAGTGCAAGGGCAGTTACAATATTGATGCGGTCTTCCGAATCTTAAAATATATAAATCATGAATGTTTAATTGTAAGCGAAAGATGGTCTTTCATGGTGTATTTACACAATTTCATCCTTTATAATCGTTCGTGTTGAATTATATGTGTCATATTACCCACTTTCCAAACTTTTATTCATGGGTACATGTACCATCCGATTTTGTGACTTGCTTCATACTCTTTCTTTTTACTTTTGTTTTGAATTCTAAGATACAACGATGGTGTATATCTATTTTGATATGAAATACATCATTTAACATATAAAGATGTTTATGTTCCGTACATGAATGAAGGCTATCTAAATAGAGTATGTTCTCTTCATAATGCCACCTTCTATCCAGAGAATACCTTGCCCTACAATTATCTGTAGACATGTTGTGGGGATAATAGAGATTGTTGCAATACAATATTTGAAAACAAATCAACTCATCACTGTCAGGCTTTGTAGTGAATAGTATTTGATAGGTTCAAAGCTTCTTACTATTCACTTAAATGCAGGAAAACATAGTTACTTCTCCCATAGTTATTATTTCTTTCCCGTGTGAATTCCATCATTGAATCCTCACTTTTTTCCTCTGAAACAAAGTTGGTAAATGATTTGAATTGTTGAAATGTTAGCAAAGAACCTTTAATTAATTTTAAATTTTAATTTTTTATTTTTTTAAATTTTATTCTTTTCGGGGTGGGGGAGATTCTTATGGACAGTGAACAGTGGCATAATGGAAAGATCTTCTATGTGACAAAGTGTCCGGTGTTCGGTGAACTATAAATATGTGGTACTCTGTGAATCAATAATATACATACGTCTATGTACAAAAGGGCAATAAATATTTATCGCAATGCTCACGGTGTCAAATCACATTAGAGACCAATGGCAGCGTGGACATAACAGGTAACTGGGAAATCCTACAGACTTCTTCTCCCTCCCTTTGAGTTTACGATGCAACAGCCCGATCGATAAATCAGGAATGCTTTCATTGACGAGACAGTTTCAGTGCAATGTGCTAGCCAGAAGAACCGAGTTCAGGGATAATTCATTCATTACAATTAGGAAGTCGAACGTTACGACGAATATTCCTTTCTTGTAGGCATAAGCAATTTCTTGTTCAGTGTTAAATCGAACCAGGATATTGGTTTACCCTTACTGAAAGTCTAATCTAATTTATACGCATTAAATGTTCCTCCTTTGCATGCATCAATGAATACTGGACGGACAGCAATATTGCAAATGTTCTTTGTAACGTGTGGCCTTTGTATTCCACAACAGTATGTTAAATGTCCGAGGTATAACAAGAGCGTAATATTCAAGGGGAGTACTTTTTTTATATACATTTTAGTTTCTGAAATTATTATTTTTATCATTCATGTTCTTTTCATCACTTATATTTCAATTCAGATATTATGTACACAGTTATTCATCGGCATACTCAAACACTTGTTACTATGGATTCTTTAATCTTAATTATACTTCTCAGGGACTTCTCCTTATCTAAGATGCACGCAACCCGATTTCATCACTTGATTACGGGACGTTTTTTTCTAGTAATGGTTAAGAAACTGAAAGAAGATATAGGTGGTGATAGGTATCAGGATTCAGGAAAAGTAGAGCACTAACTCGTTGAAACAACACTAACTGAGAACCAGTCTGAATTATTAATACATGTGAAATGGTAATGTTAGTGAAAGGTTGTAATAGTATAATTGTATAATCGGTGTATGACAGAATACAACATCCTTTGATCCACAAATAGATCCCAGATCAATTGCTTAGCACTCTGCAAGACCTTGTGTCTTTTGTCAAACCATCTGTAAGCATTCGCCGCGTCTTACCTAAGAGTTCTACAGCCAGCATGGATTAGAGCAAAGGCGATAAATTCAGACGCTTATTGTCTCTTCTCAACCGTCGACATTTCCTCTCCAGGGACTTAGTCATTACTGACATTTGATTTGATCAGCGCCTGTGTCAGGGCTCGGCAGAATCTAGCTACTTACCCCCGGCTCCCAGCGGGAACTCACCAGAAGTAACAATTTCAGATTTCTGTCAAGAACAATTCTTCCATAGGCAGTTGACAACTGAGAAGTCAATACTGTGGTATCCAGCAGGTGTCTGTATCCTTTCAGTGACTAAAGAAACCTTACTCTAAACAGAACTTACTCTGTACGAGAAGATCGATTGCTTAGTGAGTATTATTTAGTAAAGAGGAATAAATAGAGATGATATCGTTTGTATGAATTGTATCATCACACTTCTAAGAACTTATTGTTATCGAACCCTCTTGTTTTGCAGGTTGTCCTTGTGAATCTGAAACACCTAAAGCTCCTCGTTTATAGTCAGATCTGACTAAAACCAATTAATGTCTTCACTGCCGTTCGTGTGTTTTACCTTCTACATGCTACACACCTGGATGATTCATCCAGCGATTTATCTCCAACCCATATGACCAGGACTTTCATTAATGATGGGTAATGATGCATCCAGCAGGCGCTGCACCAGTTCCATCTGCTCAGAATCCTGCAACAGTTAATTAGGCGCGATGGACTTATCGATCTCCATTGTGTCTGAATTGACCACTTGCAAGTACAAACTGTTATTGTAAGCAATATTTAGTTTGTCGTGCGTTCGCATTGCTCTTGTTATTTGTACACTGTCGTAAAAGTATAAGCCTGGTAGTATCGCATTTACGACACCCAGCGATCTTAAAGCATCATGGTATTATTGTGCACCATTGTGGAGAAGTTGCTGACAGCTGCATCAAAGGGACATGGTATCAGACATACAGTCAGGCCTTCTGATCATATCTGATGGCACCAGATACTCAAGATCAGACAAGAAGGATATTAGGACCTTATACAAGGAATACTTAGACAGTGTCCTTAAGACGCTTTAATAACAACTATCAATCTTTTGTGGCCGACATATTACGTATGCCATATTATTTACTTTAGAATCGATCCAATGTACACAAAATACGAAAGACGTATTAATTTAAAGCTTTATGTAAAAATAATATATATAAAAACGAACCATTGAGAATAGATCGTACGAAATATCCAGTGTACGATTTCGACTGTACCATGGCCATGACAGTGTATACTGCCCGACAGATGGCAACTGTCACAAACGCAAGCAAAGGCAAATCAATTGTTCACCTAATAAATATGGCAATATATGGTACAAGTCAAATTGGAAATTGCATCGAACATAATTTTAGTCACTTATACGTCAATATTTTTAAAATCCTGCACATGTCTGCCAAAAAAACTTTTGAAAGCTACACTAAGGCACGGAATGTTGTAACCCTGATCAAACAACTTTTGGTTGGTTGGTTGGTTTGTTGGTTTGTTGTTTAACGCCGCACTCAGCAATATTCCAGCTATATGACGGCGGTCTGTAAATAATCGAGTCTGGACCAGACAATCCAGTGATTGGTATCATGAGCATCGATCCACGCAATTGGGATCGATGACATGCATCAACCAAGTCAGCGAGTCTGACCACCCGATCCCGTTAGTCGCCTCTTACGACAAGCATAGTCGCCTTTTACGGCAAGTATGGGTTGCTGAAGACCTATTCTACCCCGGATCTTCACGGGTCTTTCAAATTTTCGTAGAATGACTGTGCCTGAAAAGTTGTGAAATGTAGATACCAAAGCCTGGAACCGCGCGCTCGAATATTCCTCGACATAGTGGGAGAGTTGACTTCTGGAAGGTTGAAGTAATCCCTCTTGTCATACAGTCAGTGGAGAGTATTTTTTGTCACTTCGAATTATAATGCATATATCTAAATATGAAACCAATTAGTTGTTTTCACTGATTTTTTTTCTGGGTCACGTGGGTAAATCAATAGAAGGAAGTTAGCTATTTGACAATTATTAAACTATATCAGATAAACCTGAAGCTTAAGTTCAATTTCTTGGCCAACTGCTATATAAATGACACAAATGCAAATCGAAAGCCACAATTAAGCAGCAAAGTTGCAGTAGTCACTGGGGAAAATAACGATATTTTTACTCAATAGATTTATAGATCAGAAACTGTACACAACGAATCCATACATTTTTCATAATTCGTGTCATTGATTTTCACAATTTTGAGAAAGTACTCCATGAGAAGTAATTCACGTGTGATACATACAGTGCGTTTTCGTCAATATGAATTTCGTTTTACTGTATTGGATTTTTGTCGATATGATCATGACCCATATCACTGAATATGTTCGAATTAAATTGTAAAACGAATATGCACACAAGAATTAATGTTTATCGCTTATCTCTTCTATGGTTTTGAAGTTAGATTTACTTATTATTGATGTCACAGGAAAAAAGATATCGGTAAATTTAATTACAGTTTGGTATTAAAAAGAGACACTTTAAGTTCAAAATGTCAAAAGTGAAAATTCGAACCATTTGGCAACTTGACGGTGACGTACAATGTACGTAGTTTCACTTAACCAGTAATAGAGTAGTATACTTGGAATGCTACAATCTCTCGAGGTCATATGAATCAAGGTTACATTTATCAGAGTACAAAGGCTGTCGGTACTTCAGTTAGGGTTTGTGTGACCTACAAGTGAGTCATCGATTTGTCATTTCACAAATGGCTTGGGTATAGGCTTTGTGTGTGCGCGAATCTGCTGGTGCAAAGCCGGTTTTGTAGTGCTAGCCCGCTGAGATGCCATGCCGTAGTCCAACTATGCCGAGAGCCAGGCAGGGAAACAGGTACTATCCTTTAACGTATTTTACCTATGGTAAAGTTGAATGAATCTTTAAGGTTTTACAAATATGGCTGCCGTGACTCCACACTCCTTGAAGTTACAGAGAAGAGTTCGAGATTTCATGTTTATAATGCATTATTAAAGTATAATTGTTAAATAATTGTCACTCGATTATATTCTCAGCTGGCTGATGGGTATACAACCCTAGCTGCTTGTAAGGAGTTGTAAGTCACATTACCATTACTTCAGTGTGAGGAAGGACTGAAGCCGAAGAAACCCTCAGGAGTCAAGCTGCCGAACGCAGTCCCCCATCCAACTACTCTCCGCACCAACGTTACTGAACGTTACCTCATTTGAACTTGTGCGCTGTGGACGACATGCCACCACAGGGTGTATGAAAGTCAAACGTCGAAGCTGGATGAAAAATAAAATTATGCTCCAAATCGTATTATTTGTCAATCCGAAAACCATACACTTGCTGTGTATCAATATCGTAACGATGTATGCAGAAATGCTAGCTAATAGCTCCAAATGGCATTTTTCATGTTTAGAATCAGGGGGCACGGGTGGCCTCGTCGTTTAAGGCTCCGCGATTCGCTGTGCAGAGTTGCGTCCCTTTGGCACGCCAGAAACCTACATGTATGATTGTGGGTTCGAATCCCGGTTCGCCCCGATTATGTTTCTAGGTTTGTCAGCACCATACCCGTGATCGTGGGTTTCACCGAAGTGGTAAACGTCTGAGACCTGCATCACTTCGGGCTTTACTCCCACAATAAGCTGACACGCCGTGATATAACTGGAATACTGTTAAAAGCGGCGTTAAACCTAACTCACTCATGTGTAGAACCGGACTATGATTATGTGAGCAACTTCTAAAAACATCATAGCCTCAGCTCCGGGTGCCTTGTAGTTTCAGAGGTGACGAAATGATAAACAACAGTGAGCTAAAAAGGCCACTACAGTATGTATTCCAAAAAATATCTAATTTTCGTGATTCGTTTAGTCGATAGATCATACTAGATCATATTTCTAACCTCTGCCTTTGTGGAGTATTTAAGTTAAGTATTACTTCCTTTTTCGTCATTCTTCATTTTGATATGACTTGCAACACCTTTATACGGAAGCCTTTTAGGGCCATTTGGTTTTTAAAAACAATAATTCGATACTATCTTGAAATTTCAACTTACTTTCTTGAAATTTCAGGATAGTATCGAAAAAAAACAAAAAAAAACAATTGGCC